CTTTCTGGCTGAAAGCAGATATGTATTTTGCTTTAGTAGCAGAACATTGGTTTTTAAGCTTTTTGTCTTTAATGATTCTGTTTTAGGGAATTGTCAATTAATAATCCCTGGAGGGAATGCTATGAAGAATTTCTGTAATTAGATCATAATGTAAAGGTTTGCTTAGTCACAATATTTTAAAAAATTTAATTATGATTTTTGAGCGATGACCCCGATCTTCCCATCTTTTACATTCAACTGCCTTTTTAAACGCTTATTTCTTCCATTTCTTTTATTGTGTTCATTCTCTTTTTAAATTTTGTGAATATAATTAAAACTAGCCTACCTTTGAGAACTCACTGTCCTCACGTAGCAGAATAAATGAAATATGGATACAAAGACTGAACATATAAATTATCTCTTAAAAAAAAGAAAATGCCTTCTACATAAAGCTTTTTGATTTCCTTTATTTATTTATTTTTTTTCCTGGAGCTCCACGGCTATTTTTTTCTCTCTAGCCCAATGAACTTGTTATTAAAGCATTCTTGTAAAGGTAATTTAGCACACATGTCTCATAGTTATTAACCAAGTTCTACTACAATCAAATACCAAATCACTTTGCAAATGATACTTTCTTGCATCCACTAGCAGAATAGCCTGGGCTATGGAAGGGCCAGGGGTTTCTTGGTTTTCCTGAATGACATTTCAGATTCTGTGACAGTGGTGGAAACTGTTTGGGTGTTTTTTTGTTTGTTTGCTTTTGTTTTTTAAGATTTATTTATTTATGCATACAGAACTGGGCACAGGCCAGAGGTGTGGGTGGTGAGAGGATTCACCAGAGAGAGTGGGGAGCAGAACAGGCAGAACTGACAAAGAACACTGCTGAGGGGGGCAGCAGGCGGGTCAGGAGAGGTCTGCCATGTGGGTCACCTCTGGGTTGGGGATTGAACTCATGCTGAAGTGGCCTTAGCTTCTTAATGCTGTGCTTTAAGCTGCTGCGCCACCAGGGAGGGCCCCTGTTTGGGGTGTTTTAACAAATATTGATAATATATAATAAGGATGCCACTCTGAGCATAGAGTCTCTTAAGGACATCAAAAATATTTGCAGGATAATTTATATATATGATTAATACAACAGAGTTCACCCTTGACCTAGGAGAAGTGTTGTGAAGACAGAGCAGAGGAGACAGGCATAAACAGGCCTTGGCTTATACCTATTAACACACTTAAGTAATATCTTCGAAATGCACTGAACAAAAATTCCTTCTTTTACACTGCTAGTATCTTTGAAATGATAGTGCAGTATTGTTATTTGTGAAGTAGTGACTTTTTTAAAATCAGAGATGACTTCATATGTAATCATAGAATAAGGGATTTTAGGACTGGAAGGCACTTAAGATTCTCTACCCTCATCCTGTATGAGTGGGTTCTGAGAGACAGGGAGTCTTCAGGTATTTGCCAAGGTCATCCAAATGCAAATACCAGATTTTGCTGAGGTCAAGACAGATGAATAATACCTATTTTTAAAGTTTTTTTCAGCACAATAGGTTTAGGGAAGAAATAGATCCACTGCATGTACGAAGTGATATAAGTTGGCCTGAAGGTTACACAAGAGCACAGTTACTGATTTCATAACCACAGTTTTCTGTTTTTACTTGAAGATGATGATGCTCCTGTTTTAAGACAGGTTTTCTTTTAGGGCTGAGTTTTGTAAAACTGGAAGTTAATCTCTTTCTTTCTTCTTCCTTCTCTCTAGCCTCAAGATAATTCAAACTTTGGACTCCTGCCCTCCCATTTCCCCTCAGAATAAGAGAATCAAACAAATGAACCAAACCCAATCAACCCAAACAGCTGATTACAGTTAACAGAATTATTAGTAGATATCCATGAATTTTCATTCTAGTTTGTTCTGGTTTTAATGGTCAGGAAAATTTATTATCACTGTGTCCTTTTAAGGATAACTAATTTTAGTTCTTTTTATATATGTATATATACAACATATATATACATACATTTATATTATACACACGCATATATATATATCACTTCAGATTGGATTAAGTAGATATGGAGAAAAGAGTACTATTTTACTGTAGTAATAATTTATGCTAAGTTTATGTGTGTTTTATATTGTAGCACAGACCAAATTTAGAAAGAATGTTTTCTGAAAGGATTCTTGCCATGAATAAGTCTGAAAATATTGGCATGAATACTGCACTCCTTACAGATAATCACACTTTTGTTCTATCTCTGTAAAACTGATTGTGGCTGTGTCTTGGAGTTTATTGTATATCAGGATAATACTTTAAACAGAAGAATGCATGAGAATCATGGCTTTATTGTATTTAGTTCTTTCTAATGCTATTGATAGGAAAGGGGGAGGATGAATGGTTCCTCTCCTCCCCCAATATTATGTGATTAAAATGGGAGAGCTTTGGCAGAAACAGTGATTACTTTTTTTTCCAGTTGGCTTAGTTTACTTTTACTTGGCTTAGTGTCTTTTTTGATTGAGTACTATAGGAATGAAGACTCCTGCAAAGATACACAAATTGACAGTTCACTGCTGTTTTATATCCCAAGCCAGGTGTCTCCTAGGCTCTGGTAAGAGTCAAGTGTCTGGGCAGAAGGTCTCAAGTCATTACCATAAAAAGCACTTTGGCACCCTGTGTCATAGAACAAAATGTCAGTCCAGTTCCCATCAGTAGGTGCCTGTGGTGCCTTTCTGAAATAATCAGTCCCATTCAGACAAAGATTAGGTCCTTGATCGTCTTTCCAGTTCACAAGCAGTAATTTTTTAAGGCTAAATGGCACCAGAAGCAGAATATTTTTGAAGTAAGGTTTTGAAAAGAACTTAGTATATCCCAAAGCTGGCCTGATTCTCTCTTCTTTTTTTCCAAGGTCGCATGCAAGTTCAGCGCTGACAGCCCTGACATGGGCATTTGGATAGAGGCAAGCCACATTCACTCCTGGGAGGGTCTGAGAGGACTTGTGCCAGTGAGGGTCACTTTATCTTGTGTCCTAAGTCCTAGAGAGGAGAATCAGACAAAACTTCAATTGCCCTACTTTGACCCTTCAACTTCAGATGGGGGTGCCCTAAAGTATTAATTTTTCTTCTTTAGACTTTTCTAAGAGACTGAAAAGTCTGGTACGTGAAGATGGTCAAGATAACATCGCAACAACAACAACAAAATGTGTATTTTTTTAAGGTGCATTTTTGGAGTTCCAATTAGAAAATGTGCTTCACTGCCTTACTCTGCATATGTCCCTATGAATTGCAAGAGGTCAGAGCAGGCAGAGTACAACTATTGAGATGAGAAGAGCTTGCTCTTTTTAAAGAGCTATTTTTACCCACAAGCCAGAGTGTGTAGGCCTCAAAGTGCTGGCAGGTTTGTCTTACAGAGGGATCTAAATGTGAGGCTTTTACATTTCAGGTGAAGGTCTCAGTGGGGCTCTTCCTGCCTCTGCTCTAGGAAAGTGTGGTTCTGTTGATGGTCACTGCTCTGTTGGAGGAGGGAGAGGCCAGCCTTTCCCAGGGGACCTCTTGTGTAGTGTTCATTGTGTCTGGGCACCCACCCACTAGAACAGAGACATAGTCTGAGGTATCTGGTAGCCATGTTCCAAGAAAAGACCCGGGATATTCATTAAAAATCGCCATCCTATTTTGATGCCACCGACTCTAGTTCCTCAAGCAAATTTCATCCCACCTCTTACAGATTCATTTCGAATTTTCCATCGTTCAGATGGCATCATTCAGAGCCAGACTATGGAAAAAGGCAGGCATGAAGAGATAATGGGCAGAGTAGGGCACAGGAAAATGCCCTCCCAGCTCTGGAACTGGACGTGACTAGGTGCCCCGAAGAGGTGCTGGCAATCACATCAGTACCAGAAGGGCCGGTTCGGGAATCTCAGCTGCTAAAGGTGACTTCACCTCAATTGCTGTGCTCCGAAGAGGATGGAGGAGAGAGGGAAGGAGGTTTGGGAGGGAAACCACGCGAGTGAGGTAGAGGTACAGAGATGGAGAGAGTGAGAAATCCTGAAAGAGGGAGAGAAATATGACAAAGACAGACACTGAGCACAGAACTAAGGAGGGAGGTAAAGTCTCTGAGAGATGAAGTCAGAGCGGGAGCGATTGAGGAAGACAGAGACAGCGAAAGTCAGAGTAGAGAGGTGAGAGCTGGGGGACGCTGGTTGAACTGCGGTGTCGGGAGCTAGGGAGATGACAAAGACTTGAAGCACCCGATCCTCCTCCATCACCCCGCGTCTCACCTCCACCACCCTCCCTCCTCCTCCGGCATCTTTCACTCTCCCCGCCCAGCCCGCTGCAAGGAGCGAGCGCGCAAGGTCGCCCAGTCCCCTCGGTGGCCACGCGCTGAATGGCTGGCGGTCCACAGCGCCCATGTCTCCGGCCGGGCAGCTACAGGTCGGCTGCGCCCCGCGTCGGCGCTCGAGGCGGGCGGGGGAGCCCTGCACCCTTCCGCGCCCATCCTAGCCCAGCGCGCCTCCCCAGTAAGCTCCCCGCCACTTCTTGAGCGGTCGCTGGCCTCTTCGTGCCCCCTGGGGAGGGGGCGCAGAGGCCGCCAGACACTGCAGGAGCCACTGCCCACTGCGGGCACAGCCAGCCGACAGCCGGAGAGCAGAATTTGTTTATTCGGGGTAACAATTAGTCTCGGAGGAACCGTCAGCCACGTGCTAACGTAATTGCCTGTGTGGGGAAGATAGGCGCATTCAGCTGCTAACCTGAGACACCACCACTGCCTCGGCGTGGGGAACCCCAGCGCGCTCCAAAGCGTCCCCTAGTGGTCGGGCAGGTGGAAAGACAGCGCCCGAGACGCCTCTCCGGAGCGACTTCCCGGTTTCCCAGGGTGGCGCGTAGAGGTGCAGCTGCTGCGTGCACCAGAAGCCTCCGCGTTCTCGCCACCCCACCCCTCCCTCAGAAACTCTGAGTGCCTCCGCTACCCCTTAGGTCCCCCCCCCACCCTTCCGAAAGACCAGTGTCTTATCTCTCAAGTTCAAGTCTCCGGACTTGCCCAGTCTCCTGTCCTTAAGTCATTTCTACCATCCACGGCAGCCCGGGGGTGCTGGTAATCCTGGACTGCCTGTCCCAGTGCCGGCGCTGGCAGTTCCAGTCTGTCCGGCTGAACAGCAGCCCGGCGCATTCGCCTCGCCTCGCCTCGCCTCTCCTCCCTCCCTTTCTCGCTTCCTTTTTTCCCTCCTATACTTCCCCCCTCCTTCCTTAGCCTCTTAAGTTTCCTGCACCGCAAATCTAACTGTACCAAGCCCAGGATCCCGCGGAGCCAATACTGAAGGCGACCCGGACACTTGGGCGCCGACTCTGCCGAGGCTGGACGAAGCAACGGGACCGGTCCGCGCCGGAGCATGGAGACCAAGCGCCAGGGAGGGCATGTCCGGGGCGCCGGAGACACCAGGCCCCAGTAGCTCCTCCATGGAGCCTGCCCAGAGCGGTCCCTGCTCTCCGGATTCGCCCCTGATCTTGTGCGGTATGTACCCTTGGCTTCCACAGTCCGGGAGGGGATATCTTGGAGTGGTGTGGTAGGGCATCAGCAAGGGGAGGCGGGGAGGGCCACTGTTTGGGGGACAGAGTGCGCCTGGCAGGTGACCCTCACAAACCCGGGCAGGCATTCGCTCTAGAAGTTAGCGACTGGCTGTGCCCCTTGACTGGAAAAAAAGTAATGTCAGAGATGTGTGTGTGTGTATGCGTTTCTCAGTTTGTGCGGGGGGGTTGGGGGTGGGGAGGTTTCGAACTGGTAAACTGAGCCCGGCGTTCCTGTATGCAAATTGCATGCCTCCCCCACCCCCTCTACCTGTGGAGATACCCTGCACCTAATCCTGGTCAGTTTACCTACCCTTCCTCTTCCCGCGCCCCCCTTGCTCAGACTCTTCCTGGCTCTCTCTCTTTCCCTCTCCATCTCTCTCTGCTGGTGTGTACGTCTGTGAGCATTGCCAGGGCTGGCGAAGAACCAGCAACCGCCTTTAGTTCGAGCCGCCCGGCCATCAAACACTAGGGCAGGTCTCGCTGCCAGGGACGCTTGGGCTCCGAACCAACCTGCACGCTGCTCGGTTGCCCTGCCACCTCCAGTCTCTACTGCCCGGGAACTCGCGCCGGAGAAGCGCTGGGCACAAGACGCCCCTCATCCTCCCACCCTCTGTCCCTCCCGCCTGCCTGCGGACCACGCGCTCGCTGGTTTCAGGCGCTGAGTTTACTCGCTTTTCAATTTTTCCTATCCCCACCGCGGGTTTTTTTTTTTTTTTTTTTGAACACCTCTCCCCACCAAGACCCCCTTTCCCCGCATGGTCGCCAAGCCTAACCTTGCCCGCCTGGTCATGGGATGTCTAATTTCATTTGTATCTAGGCTGCTGAGAGCGCTTCTTGCTCTGTAAAGTGGATGTCAGGTGGATCTATGTTTTTGAAGGAACAAAGACTCAGAGAAGGCACCGCTGAGGAAGTTTGAGACGCGGGAGGATGCAGGCTGCGGGCTGGTACGTCCTTCTCCTCCTGCAGCCCACCGTGTACTTGGTAAGTCGCTGCGGATCTGGCGCCCCCCGCCATCCCACCTTGGCCAAGAGACCAGGTAACCTGGGGAGGCGCGGGAGGGTGAAACCGCGGGCTCAGCAAAAGCAGCCTTCCTAGCGACTGTGTTGGAATAACTTTGGCAAGCTCCTCTGAGGATCCCTACGGGATTTTACGGGCTTTCCATCCTTGTTTCTCTTTCCAGTTGCCCTTCTCCTGCTCATGATTCTGAACATCAGCGTCTATCTGGACACACAGAAATCGAGGAGATAGGTTTTATAGGGGAGAGGGCAATGAGAAGGCATGGTAGAGGTGGAAGGAACTCTGTTAAGTTCATTCACAGAGTTTAAATGGGAGGAGACAGAGGTGAAGAGTGGTGCAGGAATCTGTCCAGGTGTGTGACTTTGGAAAGGAATCCATTTATCTCACCCCCAGGTTAGAGATGTGGCACAAAAAGAAGTGCAGAACTTTGTTCGGCTTGTAGGGTTCAGACAGGACAAGTTTAACTATTACACAGGAGCACAGCAAGCGGTCAGAGAGAGTCAGGTCAGAGATGCTCCTGCAAACGTGTAAAGGCTCCACCTCTCTCTCCAAATCTCTTTCTTTCAACCAAATAACCCAACCTAAGCTCCAGTGTCGAGTCTTTCATTAGGGCATGGCAGACCTTGTCGTCAGGGAAAGAATACTTAGCAAAGCATCAGTCCGAGAACTCCCGGAGACAAGTTTTCCGGGCGTTAGGACTTTGCATACCTCTGGAACTCGCCAAGGAGAGGGCGGCAGAACCGCTTTATTGTGGTGGCGGGTGGTCTGGGAGTTGAGGACACCGCGCGGAACCGAGTCTGAGAGTTCAGTTTCTCTGGTCTGGCTTCAGGGAGAGATAGGGACATACAACCTGCTGGCGAAGTTGCACTCAGTTCACCGATCCCAGCAGCCCATTTCTGTGCAGGGGGAGCACACTGAGGCTCATTGTGTTTTCTTAGAGGCGGGGAGCACTGGGGCGACGTTAAAGCTGGATGAACCAGATTGGGGGCGGGGGTAGCGGGCGGTGCCATTCCTCATTCCCGAGGGCTTCTAAGCCCATAAGCCTGGGAGCAGAAGTGTTGCTAGCCCTGCAGTTGAAAGCGTTTCCCAACCGTTGCGCTGATGCTTGTGACTGCAGGCCTACTAGTTGTGTGAACCCTGTGTATATTATCCCGTGTGTATGCATGCGTCTGTGAATATATGTGAGGGTGTGTGTATTTAAACGTTTCAGCTTCAAGAACCCTTAGTATTGCCTGTCATTGTACTTTTACCGCCTGACCGCGGTAGCCAGCCGTGGACGCCAGAGGGCGCTGCGCGCCATTGTCTTCACCCATAGGGCACCTTGGGGTAAACAGGTAAAAGCCGGGGCAGCCAATCCAAAAGAATAGCCTTTTTAACTGTCGCCTTATCTGTGCCTTCCCGGGTTGGGACGCTGACGGAATGCAAAACGTGTCCTTTTCATTCCACATTTCAGTAATTCTTGCCCCCACCTGTGTTGAGTAAACCCACTGACATTGAGAGGCCAGAAACCGAGGGCAGAAAGTTTGGCCAGCGGGATAAAGAAATTGAAAGAAGCGGGGAATGGACTGAAAAGCGAAAGCTGCGTAGGAGAAATTTTAACAATTCCCTTGACCACGGAAATCTGCCTGCCTCTCTTCTTTGCTTACCTTTAACGCATGACCTAAACCTCAGATCTGTTCTAACGTCCTTGGACTGTGCGCGCACACAGCAAAGGCTCGCGGTTGTGGTGCAGTTTATTGCTTGAAGCAAGTATTTCAATAGTCTGGAAAATAATCTATCAAATGCAGAAGTGAAATCAATACGTTGTGTTAAATTTTAAATGTGTTTGTTGGCAGTTAAACCGTTTTCCACTCATTACAACAACAGTGCTGGATTTATTCTAATGCGCAGCGTTCTCAACAACAAGCGCATTAATTCTCCTTTAATTGTAAACTGGGAGCATTTGAAAACCATTCAGTGTGCAAATTATGCTGATTCAATTACCGTTTAGTTACAGACTTCATTACCTGAATGCCTTTTGGTAATACAGGGAGAGGAGACAATTTTTCCAATTTCACTCAAAACAATACGAAATGTGAACAATAAAATAGAGAAGGCGATTTAGAAGTCCATTCGTTCCTCTCTTCTCTAAAGTTGTTTTGTGTGTCGGGGATTATTAGAAACCACACGCAGCAGAAAAACAAAAGGCTGGTTGGTGACTGTGACCCAAGGCAGTATTTCCAGGGATTGTAATCCAATAGTTACATGCTAGCAGAATCGTAGCTGTTTTCCTGGAGAAGCAGAAAGCTAACTTTTACCATAGAAATGAATGTAAAGGATGAATTGGTCAGTATAGGATGGCTTGAGGAAAGTAAACAAGCAGAGATCCTTGATTAAAATTGTAGGACAATGAGACAGAAGTGGTCAAAAATTCTTTCTCCATCTATTTTATTGAACACTAGACACATTAACTAAAATTGTTATTTATTTATAGCTGCACCCAGAGCATTCCAGAACTCTGAAAGAAACTTCAATAGATACCTGCAGGTTGTCAGGAGATGCGTCAAGTTATACTTCAAGAAGGCAGGAATGACAAAATAATTATTTTGTCCCTTTTGTATTTGTATTATGTCCCTTTTAAATGGACATAAGTTGGGAGGGATTTAATGAGTTATTTTTGTCTTTATGAGTTCATATCACAAGTGTATGGCCACTCTATTGAAGCATTGCTTTTTAATTGATATCACAGTGCACCTTTCCCTTTAAGCCCCTGGAATTCCAGTTATGTTTCCTTAAGAGTAATTGCCATAGTTTATCTAGGGAACAAAATTTGTATAGATATCTTCTACATACAAATATTTAGGCTTCTACTTATAGAGAAACACCTTAAGTACTTCCAAATTTTAGAAGATTTCAAAACATTGACAAATGACTCTCTATCCAGCACATCAATGGTTCATACTTAAATCAATTTCTTACTGTGGTTTCACACTGGGTTAATGTCCTTAAAGTGTGTTTCTAGGCCCACTGTTGATTCTTTGCATACTTGTATTAGGTTGAGCATTTTGAGTATTTTTGTGTTTATTGAAGGGTGGGTCTGCCTTATATCAAACTATGAGCTTATTGTAGTACTGCCATGGGGAGCTAATTAGAAAGGTGTCTGTAAAGCTACATTCTGAAACATATCAGCTAGAAAAAAATCACCACAGGGCTAACTCCAGTCATAAATGCAGAAAGGTGGGAAACCATATTTTTTTATTAAATAAAGGCAGCAGAATCTTTTCATAATTGAGTGTGTTTACTGCAAATTTATGTCTGAATTCAACTGAGAAATAATGGCCTATGACTTAACAATACTTGTTTGAGATCAAATCTTTATTCTCTTTTCAGCTTTGGACAAATTCCAGGTTATTTTCAGTATGGTATAATAGAGTAACAGTACTATAATACTTTAATTGAGTTGAAACACATGGATAGATGAGAGAAATTTGATTTCTGGGTTAAAAGAAAGGTGGCTCTAGAGTGAGTTATTTTGCATGGATCAAGCTGACTGATAGGCCAGAGCATAGAGGGAGAGCATATCCCAGCAGAAAGCAGAGGTTTCCTGTTTGGAGGCTTACCCAGAGGCAAGTTCAGAGGCAAGAATTGAGTCTAATGAGCATTCTTTGGGCCTATCAATCAAAAAGTTACTTATGAATTGAATTCAGAGACTCTGACAAGGGGTTGCATGATGTTACTGTGGACAATCACACATTCACAGTACTATCCTAATGAGAAGAGGCTCCTTATGTTTTGGTTTAAGTTAATAAAATAACAACAGTTCTGCTAGGTATTAAAATTGCTGACAGTCTAGTTGCTTGCTCGCCAATAGGGTGGGAATTGAAAATTCTTTCTAAACATTGTGCTTACAAATCATTTGAGTCATGCATTTCCTTAAATTTAGGATATCCTATTATTTTAGATATTAAGAGAGATATATATCCTCTGCACTGGTAGAAGCTAGGCCACCTGGGTGAATTCCATTCATTATGAAGTGGCTATTAAGAAACATGGAAGATGACTGAAAGGCATCAAGGAGAGAGATCACCACTGTCTAACCTTTGGATTAGGTATATGTACCTCCCATCCTCTGAAAATTAAGCCAGCTGCACACTGGAAATTTTCATCATTTTGAGTTTGTTCCTGAAAAGAATAGCACATTAACTATCTACCAATGGTTCCTATGTATTCTACGTTAAGGCAGTTCTTAGAGGCAGTACTGTAAGGCCCCCAGTCTCACTGCATTTCCTGATGAGTCTTCTACCACAGATCAGCCTTCTTGATGCAGGAGGAAGCCTAAATTGTTGGAGGGACCTATGTACCAGCAGCACAAGAACTCATCAGTCCCAAGTTTATTATGGGGGGTTCTGTGAAGCTGAGTGTGTGGGAAGCACCTGGGTTGGATGATCCTTCTGATCCACTTTCAGGAGGATAGTGGGCTGTGGTCTGAGGCCTTCCAGTAATAGTCTTTTGGAATCTGTCTTGAGTATTAGGAAAGAATCACTCCAGCCCTCTCAGTGATATTTCCCCTGAAAACCATTAAGTTTGTGGCTCTTCTTTGTGCAAAGTTGATTTCTAGTTGGCTTTGAATTGTTGACGGCTATTTCCTCCTTAATGAAAGTGTTGTCTGGTTGAAAAGTATATCAAGTGGCAGACAAATGGGTTGATTTTTTTTTTATCTTGGTGCCCAATGTCCTACTTTTCTGTCTGAGGAAAGATTTTTCTGCAGGATACAGAAATTGACAGCATTGTCCAAGTAATAACCACAGTCAACAATATTTTCAAAAGGGCATTTGAGTGATGAAAGCATTTGGATATTGCTCTTTCAAATAAGTAATTTACTGTCTTAGGCTTCTTTGATTTTATAGAGGGTGGGGAAGAAGGGGCCACACTTGGCAAAGGGATTCCTTTCCAGTTTAGTCCAGTACTGAAATAAGGAGTTGTTT